AGGGTATCGACGATGTGGTGATGACAACGAAAAAGATCCGACTCCGTGCCCGCCCTTTCGACTCAACGGTATACTTCCTGCCTTAACGTGTGCGTCAGAAATCTGCTCGCTTCATAAACAGGATGAAAGATTACTCATCGTTTTTGAACGCACAGACGGAGGTACGATGCTAGGAGTATCCCGTGTCGTACAAATAAGAGAAGGGATCTAAAGCTCCGACTTGCGTCAACAATCAAAAATCGAAGACACTGTTCTATACGCAAACTGTCGAAGATAAGGTGGGCCGGGCAAGTAATGCGTATGGATGACAACCGATGGACAACAGCCGTTAGTGAATGGATTCTTCGGGATGTCAAACGTACTGTAGGAAGAACACCGACCCGATGGTCAGAGTTCTCCACGAAAAACCTAAGAAAGATATGAAGTTCAACGAGTCCCTAGAGCCAGTAGAACCCACTGAGCTGCTCTTGCACGCGACAAGGGAAAATAAATGATTTACTGGCACCCGAGCACAACCAATTAGCTATATTTGCATGCGACAGAGAAAGATGGATGATTTGGTGGCAACCGCTCGAGTTACTGGACAGTCGACAGGAAGACAGGTGATACACCAAGAGAAAACGTAATAAAAATAACGAACTAAAAGGAGAGCTCAATATATCAGTGGAAAAAATCATAGGTGTGAAGCATCGTCGTATACGTTAAGCAAGTAATTATAGAAATTACGAAGATTACCATAGCTGAGTTCAATTCATCAAGAGATTCGCTGTACCATGGAGATGCGTCAGTATTTCTAAAGCCAGTGGTTTGATTTGATTTGTGCCGAAAAAATGGGATTAATGATTGGAACGAATACCTAGGATCTTCCGTAGATAGGCTAGGGTTCTGGAGATGTTGCCTTGGCACATGGATCAATTCCTTCTCCTTAACAGAACAGCCTAATGTTCTTCCAACAGAAATCTCAGTATGAGAAGGTGAGTTCACATTTTCAGGTTCAGACATTCTAAAAAATCAGTCGTATGTTGTTACACGCAATGCAGTTGGAAGAAATTTTTAAAAAATGTGTCAGAGATGACTGATAAAATGTAACTGATGTGAAATGGAAAACATAAGCTAACTCTAACAGAGATGAATACGGATCATTTCAACTAAATGGAAAGCTCTGAAGAGACAAGGACTGACTGAACAAAGTAGTATGCATGAACACTTCTAACATTCCTATGTTCTTGTTGAGCAAACACGAGGTTTTACGTCACCCTTTATTACGGTAAAGCTGGGGATTCATCGGATTTATCCTTCTTCAGAGTGTGGAGGAGTACATTGATACACAACACTACGCCGAACGGTTCAATAACGCAAACAGAAAGATGGAGATCTGAATGGCAATCACACCTTCAACAACTTCTCCGGAGTACCTACTGTTTTTTCATGTGCCTTTCACTGAGGAAGAACACATGATCAGAGCCGCATATGATTCATTAGTGTCCCAGCCCATCTCAACTCTTTGCCGCTGACACAAAAGATCGTATTAGTCCAAATTATGTGGAGCGGTGCATTCATCGACCATTTGCGACTCTCAACAGCTGTTCGTCCTCAGTGGAAGACGCGTTAAGAACCAGTGAGTGCTTCGAAAAGCTGTTGATCATTTGATTAACATTCAGATTTTCATCTTTCCGCTTGTGTTACTGAAGTATTTGGCGCAATTAATTGCATATCAATATACCATTCCAGACTCTGGTGAAGTCTGGACTGCTGAAACGTCAGCTTTACCAGGGTTAAAATAAAGTAATGTCCTGTCTTTGCTCAACAAGAATATAGAGTATTACTCCATCGAGGCCGAGGTTAATAGAAAGTCGGTCTTGGGAATTACTTGTAACACTGTCGCACCAGTGGACAACAGGTTACTAAACAGACAGTAGATGGCAACAACATCCTGGACCAAATATCAAAAAGTAAACTTGGTATAAAAAGGTATGTAAAATAGAGCAACGTTAACAAAAAGACTTACCGAAATCTCACAACAAAAACTTATACAAAGAAATTGGATCACATAAACCGTATCCGATGAAGTGGCTAACTTCCATGAAACACCACTTATGAATACGAATATTTGAATGGACCTTCCTCCGTTGATAATGATCCTGACCGGAGCTTCGTGTAGGAAAAGTTGGCCAGCTGCGTCTTTATAATTTTGAGCTGTTGAAGCCAATAGAACATCAAGAATTCTGGTGAGCACTTAAATACCAAATGAGATGTTCAGCGAATGAAACATCAGAAGTGAAGACAAAATGACACCTGGTAACTCTATAGATGACTTCCTCAAATACATCGATAATTGCAGATGCCTTATTTTTCCACAAACAATTTAGATTTTCCTTAAAGTCCTTCGTAAGGATGTTAACTGAATGTCATTAGTACATGTCTAACGAGTCCACTGGGATTAGGAATCCCTTCATCACTGATTGTTCCCTACGGAATCATCACAGGTTTTAGTCGAATCGAGGTCCAGAGTCGAATCGCATATATTTCACCAGCAAACACAAACATTATTTGACTTACCTCCGGCCTTTCTCAATATGCTTCTCAAGCATACCCATTTCACCGTGTGAAATTGTAGGGTAATCTATTCATTCATAAAATTGCAGGCCTTTGAGGTCTATGCCACCTCTCTAAAGCCTTTTCAATAACATCTTGGCTCTTAATACTTCCCAACAGGAATGGTTACCCAGGTTCTCTAGCGTGGTAATCGATTGGCGAGGCCTTGCTGGTACAGATGATAACGCAGAGCTTCGCTACGTCATGCATTAGACTTCATGAAGTGCCGAAGAAGTGAACGAATAAATGTCTGGCCTAAACGATGACTTCTAGTGGTCTGCCGATATAGAAGTCAGTATTCTTAACCTACCAGACAGTCTGTTACCAACTTGCCGACGTCGGGGGTATAGGTTTGGTGAGCCGGGACGGAGGATCGAACCACCGACCAATACAGTGTGTACTGCATGGCACCACTAACCACTGCGTCACATCCGCATTTCTACATGAACTGTTGTTGCCAAATGTTGTTCTGAAATAGAGACTGTCGCCTCGACTGATCAGCCTTGAAGCAGTTTGCACTTCTTCTCAAGAGCTCTCCGACATCCTGCTTTGGATACTTTGCTTATGGCTGCATTTCGGAGTTTTATATTTCTCCAGTAACTGCACAGAACATCCTCTCGTATAGGCCTCTTCCACATATTACAAAGTGCTCAAGAAACAGTTTATTCTTCTTTTTGTAGAAAAATCGCAGAACATGTCTGATACATACGGTCTCTTTTGTTCTTAGTCAACCGACTCGGCATCCGTTTTTGCGTGTTTTCCTGACTCTTTAATTTAGTTGTGTTCTAAGCTCTTGCTTTACTTACACTAGTCCTCCCACAAAGGTCTGGGAAAGCCCTAGCACAGCTACGGCAGGATTCAAAAAACAATCTACCCACTCAAAATTTTTGAAGAGATAAATCCTCAAGCAGCACCGGAACTGAAACGTAAATCCGAATACCTTCGTGAATGATCGATACTATCGAGTGAAAGAAGTACCGCGATCCGCACAACAAGTGACGATGGGATAAAGGATAAAAGGAGAGTTCTCGGCGCTGATCAGTCCCTGAGCGATGCGCAATGCATTCGACTTCACTAAGCACTTGCAGGTGATCGAATGCACACCTGACCTGCACAATGACTCACGGTGGCCTGTTGATGTATCGAGCCAGTGCTGCTATTCTCTCTGACAAGTCTGGTAGTAATCTGCTGACCCCGGAGGTATGGAGGGCTTAGTGAGCCTGGGACGCGGGATCGACCCCATGTGTATCGCAGGGCGTCTCTGACCACTGCGCTAAACGTGTTCACAGGTGAAGACGGGACATATCAAAAATACCAACGAACGTGAAAGAATAGAACCTGACTGGACGAGAAAGCCTTAAAAAACGACTGGATAAAGCCGAAGGCGAACGCAAGAATGACTCACATTTGAATGTTATCTTGCAGGTTGGCCAAAGATTTCTTACCAGGATTCCCGATAGTGGGTCAAGCAACCAGGGGTGTGGCACTCAGGAAAACATGTTGAGTGCACCAATAGATATTCTTCCACTTATTTGATCAGTGCCGGTGCTATTTCACTACAGTTAAGCGAATTAATTGTAACTAAATAAAACCTCAGTGTGTCAACTTACAAAACTTTGCAGAAACCTATAGCTGGGGCTGAAACAACAAATAATTAAACGAAGTTAAGAAACAAAGTAGACAAAGCAGCGAGGAAGAGAAACTTCTTCGTAGAATCTCTAACGAAGCTTCAGCGATCCAAGGACAACACCACACAGGTCTCCGAAGCCCTTCGATCTAGTCGTAAATTTGTGTGCGTTGTTCGTGATTACGACTGAGCTTATTAGTTACGGTAGATTTCACTTCTGCAAGGACTATATACATGAGAAATATGATTAGCCTACTGTTAGTGGCATCGTGGTTAGTGCATGTTGCAGTACTTGTATATGTTCACTGAAAATTTGGTCGTCCGGTTATCCTGGTTTTTTGCATTCGGTGTTTTTCCCGGCTACCAGATGCGGGATCTTTTTCTCCGTGTCCCTTATTTTCCTCATTTATTAGTTTTTATTGTTGATTTTGACTTCATCCATGAAATGCGAATCCAGAAATGTTGCTTCCTTGTTAGACGCTGCGATCGTTGCTGCCTAGCAACGTCACAGTGACGTATCGTGTTGATTTTCCTGTCCAGAGTGGTCCATACCTTGTTTTCTTTTAATATTTGCTTATTTTCGTATGGTACTTTGCTAGTTAACGCTATTTTGTTGTTTTCTGTCGTATAGTTTCGGTAATAAAGAGTTTCATCGTCTTCAACGTTCAAGAAGAGAATGATCGCCTATCTTTTGCTCCGTTGTGAATGCCAGTGAATAGTTGTTTCTTTGATTACCGAAGTTTTTGTGGACCATAGGGTTCAATTGGAATTTATAGTGATGACCAAACAAAATGGGCTTGGGGAGGCCCGAGAAACTCCCTGTTTGGGTGTGAGCCAACCGATTTCAAAAGCGCTACCTGATGCTCGGGATTTACGACTTACAGCGCAGGTACGTGAATGAGTCCACTCAGAAAAGTCCTCTACATTTGCCCGAAAATGCACGGAAACTTCATGGCAACTTGAAAATAACTTTTTCTGACTGCATTTTCGATCTGTACAGGCAGTAAGTAGATTTCTAACTTGAATTCCATGCACAGAAACTGCTTCTTTTTTGACTAGAGCTGTAAGTAACTAACTCTTAGTTCCAGTTTTTAGTCACTAATGTTCGGTGTTCTTTCATTCAGTTGGTTGAATGTCTCAAAAGCTTCAATTTATTCGAAACTGATGAAGAAATGCACGCGAGGATAGAAGTTCTTCGAAAACTGAATTCGTTGGTAAAAAGTTGGGTTCGAAAGGTCTCCGAGTCGAAGGTACGTTCGATATATCATGTTTTTCACGTTGCTTCCTATTATATGGATAAATGTTAAGAATTTTTTCTAGCTTCCGGCGGAGATGTGTGAAAACGTCGGCGGGAAGTTGTTTACCTTTGGCTCCTATCGATTAGGAGTTCATACTAGAGGTATTTTATTGTTTTTTATGCCGATATGATTTTTGAAGCAAAGTAATGAAGTTTGCCAGAAAATGCCTTGAAATTAAATTACCATTATTCATCAAACATTGTTAGAGCCGATTAAATGCATACCTGGTGTCTGCTGTGGTGGCGAACAAGCTTTTACCCTTTCTGGGGACTAACGCGCTCACCACCACACCATGCGGGTCCGTCGTTTCGTCTTTCTTTTAGCTAGTTTTCTGTTTAGCAGTGCCGTCGGCTTACTTGGATTCAATGACGGTTTGCGCTCCCAAAATCAATCCAGTTGACTGGTGGTTGCTGATGGAACTGGTAGATAGAAAACTATTAAAGAGAAAGGCGAAACGAAGGACTCGAATGGTGTGGTGATGAACACGTTATCCGCCGGAAGGGGTAATAATGTGTTCGATTGTTCGTGTTCGACCACAGGCACCTGCGGTCCGGAGTTTTGAAAATATCTCAGCATCATTGTGGTTGTATTTGTATTTCACATAATGAATATGTCAGAACATCTTGCGATATTGTTATTCCTCTTTTAGGTGCTGATATTGATACACTTTGTGTAGCACCGAGACATGTTGATCGATCTGACTTTTTTGGTTCATTTTATGATATGTTAAAGGAGGTAATGAATCGATTTTTCTGAGCCGATCTGATCGATGTTTTTCGTTACTACATGTGTTACAGGACGAACAAGTAAGTGACCTTCATGCTGTGGAAGATGCTTTCGTCCCTGTTATCAAGTTGAAATATGCTGGTATTGAGCTTGATATTCTTTTCGCGAGATTAGCGTTGAAGGTGAGTGCCTTTAAGGTTTATTTTTGCTTTTAAAGCACTTTGCATTTTTATTTTTACATTATTCCTGGATATAGTGAGTTTCCTCTCCACGGTTTGCCGCCTCAGCGTGGCTGGGAGGTGTTCCTGGGTGTAGGGCTGCGAAGCACAGGGAGGGAATTCTTGATCTCCTTGGCAAGGTCCCAAACTGAGTAGCAGTCCGGCGTTCCCATCAAGATGCTCAGCTAAGAGTAAATCAATACGAGGATCTACCACGGCCCTCATATGAAAGTAGTCGCATGTTGGCAAATCTTCCTCTGGTCCACGAAGACCGGAGACTGCTTGTGGTGGTAACGACCTGGAGCAGACTTTGACTTGGATAATCCCAGGTCTCCAGGGAACCACAATGGCTGAAGCAGCAAAATTCCAAAAAAAATCGAGGTTATCCTGGAGCCCGCGCAACCAGTGAGGACAGCCATCCATGTATCCAAGCAGTAAATGAGGTTGTCGATTGTCGATTTGGTGTCTTTTTTAGGGATTATAATCAAAACTCGCGCCGGCTTAGCGCGGTGGATAGATTTGCCATGAAATACACAGCGGTTGTTGGTTCACTTCTTGGCTTCAGCGTAGGTCAGGGTTGGCCAGTTTGTATCTGAATTGTCTAGTAGGATAAAGACACTTGCTTGTTACATTGGTAGAACACACCAGTCGTTGTTTAAGCGAAATATGCTTTCATCCATCCCTACGATGCGGAATGAAGTCGGATGTGTGAGGCATCCCCAAGGAATTGATAAACGCACACCGTTTCATCTTTTGTTTTCTAAGAAAAATTTTTCGTGTTCTTTGCTGTTGTGTATGACTGAATGAAGTGTTGTAAAGTATGCTTTAGGGTAAATTGGCGGCCAGTGTACAATGAAATTCATTGAGACTTTGATTTAGGAAATTCCGGACGACCAAACCTTAAATGACGATATGTTGCTGAAGAATCTTGATGACAAGAGCGTAAGGTCGTTAAACGGTATGTCTTTTAAAGTTTTCCTGGTTTTTTTTTTATATTTTGGGCAGACATTGATGTGCATTCTTTTCATGGTTTATCACGATTAATCCTTTATGAGAAAAATCGCATTTTTTGTGTGCAAAGATTAGTTACTTTTTTATTCACTGCCTATTTTTTTTATGGTAGGCCATGATTTTCTTTCATTTTCGCTTTTACTTTTACTCCGATTTCCCATAAAGGCTATAAGTGAAATAAGCAATTAATGGAAGATGACTACATTGTGATTTATCCTACAGCTTCAGCTTAACTGGGTTCATTGCCGATTTGTGCTCTCTAGATCATTCCCGTTGACGGATGACCAATGAAGGCACCTTTTGCATGAAAACTGGCTGAAAGAAAGGCGCATCGAGAGTCTCAGTGGTGGAGTGGGTAACACATGACCCACCAGAAGGGGTAATCGCGGGTTCATATACGACCTGCGGTCAAAGTCTTGCATATATATATACATATATATATATATATATATATTGCTGGGTGATTGCTGATAGCACCTATAAAATACGGCTGAGAGGAAGACGAAACCAAGAACCCGCATGGTGTGGTGATGAACACGTTAGCCCCCGGAAAGGCCAGTAGCGTATTCGATCCCCACCGCAGACGCTTGCGGGCCGGAGTTCTGCAAATAACTCCGCACCTTTGTGCGCAAACAATAGTATTTTTAGAAAGATATCCAATATTCCGGTGCTCAGAAAAATGAGAAGTTTTGCTTATAATTTTTTAATGTTACTTTCTTTTATAATCAGATTCACCCATGTATTTACAAATCTTTTGCGAAAAGGAAGGCGCTATCGACATCTTTTGAAGTTATTTACCTACATGATACTTGAACGGCCCGTCATCATTAGTTGTGCGGGCCCCAGCATAATCACCATTTTTCGGAGATTTGCTGGCTAAGACATTGTGGTTCCCTGCATTCCCGAGGGCACCCTGGCCAAAGTCTGCCCCAGGTCGTCACCACGACAGGCAGTCGCAGCCCTTCTCGATCAGAGGAAGGTTTGCCACTATGCGACTTTGACACCAAGACGGTGGTGGATCTTGGTATTGGTTTACTCTTAGCTAGACCTGATGGAAACGCCGGATTCCTCAGCTTGGAAGACCCTGCCGGGGGGGGGGGGTACGAATCACCCCGCTGTACATTGCAGTCCGACACCCAGGAACACCTCCCAGCCACGATAAGGCGTCGTTAAACCGTTGGGAGGTTTGAAGTTATTTAGCTTATAGAAGCACAACGCTTTGATGTTTTATCTGCTACTGAAATTTTCCCGCGACTGTAATTTGCAGTCTCCAACATTCCGAAAGATTCCCATTACCTCAAAGTTTTCTGTCCAATTTGACCAAATCTTTCGCTTTGACTTAAGTCGTACAAAATCCTTTCAGCAGTTTTACTTTTCTGTGAAGAAAGTATCCTTTTTCTTTCTTAAAAACTTGTTTAGGTTGTCGTGTTGCCGACGAAATCCTTCGGCTGGTACCGTATCCCGAGGCATTTGCTTTATGTTTACGGGCTGTAAAATTGTGGGCAAAGAACCATGGAATTTATTCAAATGTACTAGGTCGGTTTATGACGCAATTCCCATGGTTGGTAAGTTAGGAACTTTTTGTTAGGGATTTATTTAGTAAGTTAAGATCGAAACTACATTGTACCTTTATAAAATCCTAGCACAATGGAGAGAACGGAGCACAAAGAACACTTACCATTGTAATTGAATATGACGTCATATCACTTCAGTACTAGAGTTTGGAGTTTAACAGCAATAATCAGTATTTTTTCTTTCGGTTTGAGAATCGTCACTACTAAGACTACCACGGAGTTGTAAAACAAATCTTAACACCTCAAAAGACCGACTTTCTATAAACCTCGGCGTAAATAATTGGTATATTTATTTATATGTTCTCATAAACTGATCTTGTTGAGCCATTGCGAGGTTGGTATAGGTCTTCTTTGTCGTTGTTGTTGTCGTTGCTATTTGTGTTGTTTGTCGTTAGCTGACGTTTCGGCGATTTTGCCCTCCTCAGAGCCGTGCTGTTATGAGTCCCACTCAACAACACAAACAACAGATATTAACACCTTACTGAACTCTATATAGAGTGGATTTTCGGAGAAAGGGAGAGGCGTTTGATTACACGATGTAATCGAGAAATTTTATCGATTTTTCTTGGTTCATTCATCACGCGCGCCAAACAGTTAATTTTCCCAACAAACCACCTGTAAGGCGCTTTCTCAAGGAAAGGGTGGTGCTGGTCAGATATCTTCCAGTGCAGAAAAGAGTGAAGACAAACGATTGGACCGTTATGGACAGTATTCCAGATGTTGGTTTCACGTGAAACGGTGCCGAGTCCTTCTGTAGTTCTTCCAGTGTGCTAATAGATTCCCATTTTCTCGTGGTACGTGTTCACTTCACTAAATATTGCTTCACACATCCCTGCTAATGTAATGGAGATCCGATGTATTGCAATGTCTGCCTCAGTCCTTGAAACGGTGTCGCTTCACATTATAATGCATGGAACTTTTATTTTTCCAACATGATATATCTTTTATTTGTTTTAGTTACTTGTTTGGTTACTTGGATGGCCCTTCTTCACCGGTTGTGCTGGCCTCAGCACAATTTCCATTTTTTGGGAGTTTGCCTAATTTAGCTACTGTAGGTCCCTGGAGTCCCGACGTCAGCCTAGCTAAAGTCTGCCAAAAGGTTGCCACCACCACAGACAGTCGCCGCCTTCGTGTATCAAAGGGAGATTTGCCACCATGCGACTTTGATACCAGGACGGTGGTGGATCCTGCTATTGGTTTATTCTTAGCTACACTTCCTGATGGAAACGCCAGTCTCCTTCCCAGCTTGGGAGACCGTGCCGGAGGGACAAATCCCACCGCTGAACATAGCAGTCCAACACCTAGGAACACGTCGCAGCCACAATGAGGCGGCAAACCGTTGGGAGGTTTTTCATTTTACAGTCCTTAAAATGCAACATCTTACACTAGGCAATTGCAGTGTTGCTGACGAGCCTTAAATATATTTTATATATATATATATATATATATATATATATATATATATATATATATATAGGGCGTGTGGCGCAGTGGTTGGAGGCGTCAGTGCCGACACACACGTGGATTCGATACCGGCCCACGTGGCCTACCAAGCCATCCATCCCACTGAGTTTGGCAAATTAACACCAGACTTGTCTTGGAGAATAGCAGCGTCAGCAGGATACATCAGTAGGACACTGCGAGTCTTTGTAAAGGCCAGATATTTTCAATCACCTCCAACGATACTTAATGAAGTCGAATGTGTGGCCCATCTCCCAGGGATTTATCAACGCCGAGACCTTTGTCCTTTTATCCTTATATATATATATATATATTGAATGTTGAAGTAGTTGTTTCTAAGGTGCTGTGTAAAATGCGCTTCCATTTCTTTTCGCCGGCAATCCTAAGACCTAATGGTATTAAAGATTTCCCTTTCTGACGAGGTATAACATGATAAGGAGGGTCTCTCAAGACTTGTATATTTCATTGTTTGCTAGTTAAACAAAGCAGAGAATATCTCTGGTTCTGTTCTATTTTAAGGATTTCTTGGAGGAGTTACGTGGGCGATATTAGTAGCGCGTACTTGTCAACTATATCCGAACGCTTCTCCTTCAAAGCTGCTTCTCAAATTTTTCTTAGTATTTGTGACATGGTAAGTCCATTCCTTGTCTACGTGTTTTAGTTGCTATTTGGGCTAGCACTTTTCTCCCAACGTTTTTTATTTTCCTTTTAGGGAGTGGCCTCTTCCTGTTGTGTTGAAGGATATGGACACTAGTAATCGACCAGATATTGGCGCTCTTCAAGAGCTTGTATGGGATCCCCGAATTCGGGGTTCAGATAGGTGAAGATTGTGTTTAAATTTATTGTTCTTGATCTCTCACTAGCTTTTGGAGTTCGTAAATCTTCCGTTTCACCGACGAAATATGTTGCTCACTGTATTGCTTCTTACTGCATATCGTCTGCCAGTAACTCACCATTTTCAGATTTCATCTCATGCCGATTCTCACTCCGGCTTTCCCCGAGCAGAATTCTACATTTAATGTTACGAATTCAACCAGAAGCATAATGATCAACGAAATGAAGGAAGGTGAAGTTCTCTCCAATTATATTCCATTATTGCGCTTTACAATGTTTACATATAGTAAATATACGGAGTCTGATAACATAATGGTAGTGATGTCGGTCATCACGAGCATGGTGCCAGGTCGATTCCGCTCCGGGCCAACGAAACCTCTCATTCCTTCGAGATTGGGAGATTAGTACCGGACTTGTCTGGGAAAAAATCGCTCTCTGCATTCCAATTGGGAACGCTCCAGCCCAACTATCTCAGGACTCCAGTTAAAACTGCTCTACCAACGTTCTACAATATTTGTGAAGATGTGAAAATTTTCAAGCAGCAGCCGATACACTTAAAAAGTTGGAAGATCTTCATGGACAACGGATACCAGGAAATGAATCGAATGTGAGAAGTGCTAGGATCTGCACGAAAGACTTGAAGATGGGTTATATAAAATAAAACAAACTTACTACACATGTATGTATATATACACGTAGATGTGCATATACATTTATATGAATGCATATATATATACGCATATACGTATGCTACTTGGTACTTGATGCTTAAATGGCCCCTCTTCACTGCTTGTGCGGGACGCAGCAAAATCTCCATTTTTCGGAGATTCGCTGCCTAAGCCATTATGGTTCCCTGGAGTCCTGAGGTCAGCCTGGCCAAAGTCTGCCCCAGGTCTTCACCACCACGGTCAGTCGCAGCCCTTGTGGATCAGAGGGAAGTTTACCACCATGCGATTTTGATACCAGGACGGTGGTGATTTCTGGTATTGGTTTACTCTTAGCTAGGCCTCCTGATGGAAACACCGGACTCCCCAGCTTGGGAGACCCTGCCAGGAGATGAACCCCCCGCTGTACATCGCAGTCCGACACCCAGGAACACCTCCCAACCAAGATGAGGCGGTAAACCGTTGGGAAGCATATACGTTTATATACATATATATCATATATATTTATGTATGTATGTATCCTTATAAATTTAAGGGCTCGAGATCATGAAGGACATTTACGAAGGTCGCGCCGAGTGGTCCAAGCTTTTTGAGGAAGTTAACTTCTTTACAAGATACAAGCACTTCATCTGTATGACAATTATGTTCATAAATATTGCACATTCTTTTCTCATGCTGTCGTGTTCTTTGCTACGCTATAATTATTCAGCTCTAACCTGCGCTGCTAGAAATGAGGAAGATCACCTGATTTTCTGCGGTTTTGTTGAATCAAAGATTCGACACCTCATTGGAGCACTTGAACGGAATCAAGGGATTTCGCTAGCCCATATCAATCCTCGACAATATAAACCATTACCTAGTGCTGTTCCATCATTTGGACCTAGTTGCGAGTGAGTGTTTTAGCACGTATTTTATAGCTTGCATAATGTTATACTTTAAGTAACAAATTCTTTTCTGAAATTTTGATTCTTTTCACTAAAATTCTTACAGTAAAATGAAAATTTTTTCAGAAATCCTGTGTGTACTCTGTGGTTTATCGGCTTAGAATTTGATCGAGCGATGGCTAAAGCTTTTGATTTGACTGTCGAAATTAGCCAATTTCACCACATTATTGTAACTACTGGAATCAAGATGAAGCAGTATAATGAAGGGATGAAGGTGAACCTTGTCATAAGTCTTTCTTTTTATCCGCTTCAGTTCAGAGGGTTTCGCATAGGGTCAACTGTTCTCTTTGTAGATATTAATCTAGTTGCTTCAAGAAATGACTGTTATAGGTCCATTAAAATGTGGGAGAAACATACCGTATAGAGAAATTTGAGTCGACATAATAATAATGGCACTTTTAGTATCGCGTACTTTTAGCTCCGAGACCCTTTGCTGTCCAGGGAACATTCTCAACGTTACTGTAGCTTGAAAAGGAGAACTATTCCCATTGATTCTTGTATAACTGGGATGAGATTTGCAGAAAATTGTGAGGTTGTCGAGTGTTGCCCTTGATTGATTGAATGCCTTGCTACAACCATCGGGCGTCTCTTTCTTGTAGTTAGGTTAACTAGCACTGTAATTATCTTTACTGTTACCAGGATCGACTTTCTCTTAACCTCGGCATTGGAATATGAATGTGTCGTTTTCTTGTTCAGCAATCGCGAGGTTTTTAAACAGCATACACTTACTTCCATAAAAACACAATACAATACAACCCTAGCTGACGTTTCGGCAGTATCGCCTTCTTCAGAGCCTGGAAGGGTATACTGATATACAATCTACTAGGCCAAACACTTCAATAACACTTACACAAAGACGAAAGACTCTTTGGTAATTACACGATCAACAACTTCTCGAAAAACCCACCGCTTTTTTCGTGACTTCCAATGAGGAAGTTTAGAACAGCTGATTATAGTCGCATGTGGTTGACGACTGCACCATCCCACATCAAAAATCGATGCGAACATACGGGATCAGGTCGCGTATGACCTCCGGGCATTCGTCCCTGCTATTCATTGTAGGGTTTTTGGCATTGATCCAAAAAGCCTCTAGGAGTTTTCGCGCTGGTGTTTTGGACTCCTGTGCAAGGATATTGACTTTTACTTCAAAATCGTCTCCGCTATGCTTTTGTATCCTATGCGTGCCTAGTGGGGTGCTTCGTCTTAGTTTTCGTTTGCCATCTAGGTGTTCTTTTATACGGATACACAAAAGTCTGCCCGTTTCGCGAATATATTCATCTCCGCAATTGTTACACGAGATCAGGTATATCGTACCTGAACTCATGCAATCACCGTCCCTGCCGTAAGGGCGAATTACGCAATTTGTTGTTTCATACAGACGGTCATACAGGCGGTTGCGAACAAATTGGCGACGTAGAGTAGTCGGTGGTATTTCAGCTATCGCTACCGATTCCTCTAGACCTGCCCTTCTTAAGCATCGTTTTATAGCTGCGCTTACTTCATCGCTTATAAAAGGCAACATAAACGGGATTTTGTTTTGGCCAAGTGTTTCGCGTGGGCTCGTCGCTCTCCTTGTAAACTTATCTCGTGGGGTTACTATTTCGTAGCCATTGGAGATGGCTATATGCCGAGCCAAGTCGCGCGATTCTTCCTTTAGTTCCCTGGTAGTGCACACAGAGGTGGCTGTTCGAAACATGTTTCTCACAATCGCCCTCTTTGTGTGTGAAGGGTGGGAAGAAGAGAAATGGACAAGGATGTTCTTGTTACTTGGCTTTCGATACCACTTTGTCAGGTAACCGCTACTTGATAGGTTTATTTGGACGTTTAAAAACGGAAGCCAGTATTTTCTCGATTTCTCCCGGATGAGCTTTATGTACTCGGACTGCTCGTTCAATAATTCAAAGCATTTTAGATGATATGTAGATGATTGTTTTGTCGTTTTCTCTACGCAGGAGGAGATGGACAAATGCATTCGCGCCCACGCGAAACACGGAATCGGTAGCGATAGTTGAAATACCACCGACTACTCTACGTCGCCAATTTGTTCGCAACCGCCTGTATGACCGTCTGTATGAAACAACAAATTGCGTAATTTGCCCTTACGGCAGGGACGGTGATTGCATGAGTTCAGGTACGATATACCTGATCTCGTGTAACAATTGCGGAGATGAATATATTGGCGAAACGGGCAGACCTTTGTGTATCCGTATAAAAGAACACCTAGATGGCAAACGAAAACTAAGACGAAGCACCCCACTAGGCACGCATAGGATACAAAAGCATAGCGGAGACGATTTTGAAGTNAAAGTCAATATCCTTGCACAGGAGTCCAAAACACCAGCGCGAAAACTCCTAGAGGCTTTTTGGATCAATGCCAAAAACCCTACAATGAATAGCAGGGACGAATGCCCGGAGGTCATACGCGACCTGATCCCGTATGTTCGCATCGATTTTTGATGTGGGATGGTGCAGTCGTCAACCACATGCGACTATAATCAGCTGTTCTAAACTTCCTCATTGAAAGTCACGAAAAAGCGGTGGGTTTTTCGAGAAGCTGTTGATCATGTAATTACCATAGAGTTTTTCGTCTTTTTGTAAGTGTTATTGAAGTGTTTGGCCTAGTAGATTGTATATCAGTATACCCTTCCAGGCTCTGAAGAAGGCGATACTGCCGAAACGTCAGCTAGCGTTGTATTGTATTGTGTTTTTATGGAAGTAAATGTATGCTGTTTAAAATCCTCGCGATTGCTGAACAAGAAAACGACACATTCATATCTTTACTGTAATGTTACGACGTTCACTATGTCGCTAACATTCATTAAAAGGGTGGATCAGGCTCTATGTGATATGGTTAAGATGGTTAAAGTGATTCTTGTTGGATCATGCTGATAGGTCGAGTTTATTTTTAAATACTGTGTTTCGCTAGAGCTTATTCGAACTGACCTTTTTGTTGATTTGGAAAGTTTTTCATGTATTCAAGATTTTATATTATCATTTATCACTGTTTGTTTGCCTGCGGATCGTTGATTGTGATAGGTTAGATTACATGCTCAAGGAACTAAAGATCGGTCGTATGCACTCCTACCGGCAGCCTTTCGCCTTCTGATCGTTTCGGACTTTGATCTCATTTTCTCCTCTTGGTACGTTTCGGTCTATCATGATCATAGGAAAATCACAGAAGGTCCAATTCGATTTCCTTTCTTCTGTTTGCCTGAGTCCTCCCAACTGTTTACCGCCTCATCGTGATTGGGTGTTCCTGGATGTCGGGCTGCGATGTACAGCGGTGGGCGTCATTCTCCCAGCAGGGTCTTCCAAGCTGGAGAGCAGTCTAGCATATCTATAAGGAAACCCAGCTAAGAGTAAACCAATACCAGAACACACCGTGCTGGTGTCAAACTGGCTGCATGGTGGCAAGTCGCTCTCTGATCCGAAAAGGTGGCGACTACCTGGGTTGGTGACCACTTGGGGAACACTGTGGATAAGGTGACCTAGGGACTCCAGCGAATCAAATTGGCTTAACCAGAAAAATTCCGGATAAAAATTGGCAATTATGCTGGAGTCCGCACAATCAGTGGAGACAGGCCGTTTAAGTATCCAAGTAATTTAAAAATTCTTTAGCAAGTAGGTCTTGTTGTAATGGGCATGGATCGAATCAGGCTCTACCGGTAAAATTTTTCTGCATCGCATTATGTTTATCTCGTTGCTGTTAGACTAGAAGTAGAAATCGTAGTATTTTTGTCAGTTAAATAGTTGAAAGAAAGGTGGTCATCTTCGGTATCACTACGCTAATAATCGCATGTTGAAAACCATGAGAACACTGTTTTTTCTGCCTTAGAAATACATTGTTAATTTCTATGTTTCTCTGCTTCCATTTTGCTTTCTATTCTAATTCTTTATTACAGTTATCATTAAAGGGCTCACGTAGCGTAGTGGTCGAAGACGCCCTTCAGTACACATGGGATCGGTCCCCGCTCCACGGGCCCAGTAAGCCTTTCATTCCTCATGGGTCATCGAGTTGGTTCCAGACTTTTCTTGGAGGATAGCGCACTGGCTCGATACATCAGTAGGCCACCGCGAGTCGTTGTGAAGGCCAGTTATGCATTCAATCACTCAAACGATGCTTAGTGAAGTCGAATGCATGGTGCATCCCTCAGGGACTGTTCAACGCAGAGAGCTATATCCCTTATTATTTAATTACCATTAATACCAATGTAATGTCTCGAAAACGACGTGTTGAATATTTTCTACTTCACTCCTTGCTTCGAAGAAATTTTCGCGCTTCTAAACTCTATTTGCATACAGGATCGATAGACCATCGATTTCCGTTTTATTTTCACCAACCTCAGACTTGTTCTATTCAAACACTGAGTGGAAATTTCTGATTGCTAGTGTGGATTACTAAAGCTTAGTTTACGTTAATATTGTTTAGACATTCAACATTCGTAGAGTAGATCTTCGATTCTTCGAACCGAGCGTTTATATCTATGTGAGTTTCCTCATAGATAGATAGGTAGATGGAAAACAGCAAGCTGAGGTAAAGGCGGGACGAATGACTGTCATAGTATGCTGCTGAATGCGTTAGTCTACGGAAAGGGTAATAGCATGTTCGATCTCTACCACAGACACTTGCGGTTCGAGTTTTGCATATCTCAGCACCATTGTGGTTGTGAGGGATTCTTTTAGAATAAAGATTCACGGGTTAATACAGAACTTGTTGTTTGCAATTCACTCAGTATACACCAAGAATTAAGGGTTATAATCTTAAACGTTCTAAGCTGTTTACACCTATGTGAAATAAAATCTGCTTTCAACCCAGTTGAACGCTAGGGTGTTGGAAGTTCTGAAATTTCAACGAATTCCACATAACTGAGCTGAAACGAGGTTGGTATAAGAACTTTTATTCGGCTGACGTTTCGACAGTGTCGCCTTCTTCAGAGCCATGTTGCTTCGAGTCGATGGTCCATGGTGGTCGATTTCGCGATATGGTTTTAGTTCGATCATGTTAAAAATTATTCATTATTCTTAATAAATTTTAATGGAAATCGGTTCTTAAGGTGTTTTGGAATCTTTCCATCTGCAAATTTTATTTATATTTAAAGTACTTTGATTGTATCTCGAGTTTTGCAGATTTAATGGAAAAGAAGCCACCATGTCCAGACTTCTATCTACAGTTTACCTGTTCAGGTCGATCTTCAATATGTGCGAAGATCCGATGTGGGTCATTGGATTTCGAAGGAGGATTATATGCGTGGTCGACACGCTGTTAGACGAACTATTGCAAGAACTTCATCCGGAACTGGATCCAACTCTAATCTTGTAAGGAGACTCATATTCTTAAGGTGTTATTATTCTTTCTTAAGGGAC